CACCAGTCCCAGCAGCAGGCGGGCACCATGCTTTTCTTGCACACGCGCAGCGCTTTCCGCCCGCATCATGCTGGTGAAGTCAAAGGCGGCCACATCAGGCCGCCCTCGTGCATCCCGAGCAAACTCCAGGTTCCCAAGCTTGCCATGCGTGGCGAAATCAGCAGCCGCCCTGGCAAAGCGCTGCAGAGCCTCGGGTACCACATTGGCGCTGCCCAGCAGCTGATCAGTGTCCGGCAAGTCCTACACAGCCAAGAGATCAGAACCTGAGACTCCTGAGAACAGAGCGGCAGGCTCAGCTCCTCGCCACTTTACAGGGGACTGACCTACAGCACAGAAGGTGCACATGCTGAGGCTGCCTAGACTACACGGCAATCGAAAGCTCAGTTGGGCAGAGAACGCCAGTAGTCTGCCTGTCGTATTCAAGTTCCTTCCTCGACATTCTCGCTGCTGCTGAGGGTCCCGAGCCCTGCTCTACCAGGAAGCCCAACATCATTGCTGTCATAGACTTCGTCCTGAAATTACCGAAGCCTTGGTTTGCCCAGCATTTACAAACCACACCCAACTTTCAAAGAACTTGTGCGAATTCGACGAGAAAACACAAAGCGAGCTCTCAGTGTGGTACTTAGTACACAGAAGGCATCCATTTCATCTCTTCAGTCCGTACACAATAGGCGCTTAACCCCTCATCACGTCCCATTCTAAGCCCTGGGAATTAACACCCAGCCAGAGGAAAAGAGACAACATCCTTCTGTCCTGGAGCTCACGTATAAGTTCAGCCCAGAATAGGACTCCCACTGCCACACACATGCAGGGAGCAAGAGCATGTCAAGGTGGAGTTACCGCCTGGACAGGGGCAGGAGAGGACGGGGCCAGCCATATCCTGGGGTAGACTGGGTCCCGCCCAGCCTCCTCCTCCCTGGGGCCAGGTCTTACCTGGAGCAGCACCCCCAGCCGCAGCAGGCACTGCTTCTTGGCTGTCATCACAAAGTAGTGAGTATCATCCTTGTAGTACACGATGTTCTCCAGATCAATCCCTGCAGTACAAAGCGGAGGCCAGGGGGGGAGTCTTCAAGTGAGTCTGTACAGGTTACCTCTCTGAACACCCAGTCCAGGGCTGACCGCAGAGCTGAAGTCACAGCTTAGGCTGCAGTGGATGTCCCGCACACAGCTCTGGTGGCACCAAGGACCATCTGCCCTGCTCTAAGAGGCTTGGCAGTTCGGAGCAAAGAGGGGGAGTCAGGTGGAGTGACAGCTGGGAGACCTTTATCACTTGGTCGCATAGCAGTTGGAAGCCAAAGTAAACATGGCGTCCTCTTGCACGCCACTCCCGTTTCCAGCTTCCATCATTCCTATACTCCAGCGTGATAGAGCACAAAGCAAAATACCCAGGCACTTCAGAGACAGTCCCAGGATTGTTTCTCTTTTACTGGTGAGGCCGCAAGGATGGACAAGAGTGGGGTTCCTTGGCCTAAGGGCAGGTAGGAAACTTCCTAAAGTAGGCAAGAGCAGGGAAAGCCTTTGAGGGTGGGCCCTGACCTGTGGCTTTGAGCAGGCTCTGGAAGAATTTTTGGTTGTAGATCCGGGCTACACCACTGATCTCCGGCACCTGTGTCTCCTCCACCGTGCGCCCGTTCACAAAGTTGACTGTGATGCCGATCGCCAGTTTGCCACGCATTTCTCGGATGGTGAAGCCTAGTGGTAGGAGGAGGTGGGGCTGACACTTCTAGGAAGGCTCACAGGAGCCTAGGATGCTGGTATTTATTTACTTACTTACTGATAACCTTATTTATTATTTTTGAGGAAAAGGATCACTAACCTTCAGGGACAAATTTACCCCCTGCAGCCGAGATGAGGACATCAAATTCATAGTCAGCCAGTTGGGCTGGGGGACTGGGCTGGAGCTGGGCACGCCAGCCACTCCCTGGGACAGAGAGTATGAGAGCCACAAAGGTGTAGAGATCAGAGGGCCCCTACACTCCCAGGTCAGGCTAGAGAAACAAAACAATTTTGTAAAGGACCCCACAGTCTGGAAAGTAGGGAAGGGTTATTTTTCAGATCACGCCTTTGAAGCCAAAGACAGCTGAGAAAAGCCGTGTTCTCTCATCTTGCTCTCCCAATTTGTATGCCGTCTGCGGCTGGGGGTGCCCAGGCCTCGCTGTCAGGAAAGACGGTCAGCTGACTCCCACCCAGACCTCTCTTTGGTGGGTAGGGGCTCTCAGGAGCACAGAAATACTTACCCTTCCTGGGAGGGGGCTGGAGGCCGGTGAAAGTGATGCCCCAGTGAATTTCCACCCCCAGCAGTAACGCCACCTTCAGGAGAAGTAGCTGAAGCTGTCGGATGCCTGGAAGTGGGACGCCATTAGGAACAGACTCATGCCTTCCTTAGCTCCGGTGTGTGCTTGCTCAGAGCTAGAGAAGGTCTCAGAGACCACTGTGTCTATCTATGGCCGTCCAACCCCAGAGACACCGGATAACATCTCAGCTCAGAGGTCAAGCAGCTTACACTGTCTATTTTGCAGAGGTCAGATCTGAGTCTTAAAGGCCACCCAGCTAAAGTGACTCTTATTCACTCTGCCCCTTGTCTGGCCCTGCAGTCTCCCACTGGTCTTCCTCTAGACCCAGGCACACCCACTCGAGGGTCACCATGAAGTTCTTACTGATGTGGTCCAGGGTGCCAGTACAGAAGCGTCCATAGAACTTCTTGGCCCCAAGCGCCCGAAGGTCATGAATGGTGAAGGGCCAGAGGTGCAGCACGTTGTGCCGAGAGAACTTGGTACGCTTTTCCACAAGCACTACTCGGGCACCTAGCAATGCCAGCTCCACAGCAGCTCGAAGCCCACAAGGCCCAGCGCCTACCACCAGGCACTGCAAACAAGAGAGAGAACAGGTGCAGCTTCCTCTTTCCTTTCAACTCCCCCTCCTACTCAGGCCCTCTCCCAGACTCTTGCTAGGTATCTACCTTAGTGTTGGCACAGGCCTGGCCTTGCTGGTACACCGAATGGCTTGCCCTCTTGTCCAACTTGGTCCACAGGGACTTGGCACTCCAGTAGTTGAGCTCGGCCTTGATCTTGTGGTACTGGGGCAATCCCCCACCAGACTCCAGTCCCAGGGTGTCACAGAGCGCCTGAAAGCTGCTCAGCACATCCTGGCACAGCTGTGCCTGCACAAAGCTCTCGAAGTGGGCGTGCGCTGGGTTGGTGGAGGCTGTTGAAGCCATGTAGGGCCCCTGACAAGGGGAGCAGCTGGGCAAACCCCAGAGGCTGTGGAAAGAAGAGAAGGGGACTGGAGGGAGGGAAAAGAAAAGGGGAGGAGCCAGCAGAACAGACTGGGGTCTCAAAGGAGCTCAGGGTCCACCTCTGATTGGCTATGCTCCCAGCCCACTCCTAGGCTATGATCTGCCCCAGAGACAGCAGCAATCTCTTATCCAGTGAAATTCGCCAAATTTGGGAATGAAAGCTCAGTAGTCCTGGGTACACAAGGCACAAGGACGCTAAGAGAACCTCCTGTCCAGTCACGCAGGAGTCACCGTGTAGGATCTCTGAGGCCCAGGGAGCAGGAGTTGTAGTAGGCATTCCTAGGTCTTGAAAGTAGGACGTGGGGGAGTTTCTGCCGGGGGTGGGATGGGGTGTAGGTTTCCCTCTGGTAGACCCGCGAGGGCTAACAACAATGCAACTGCAGCTGCTTGACAGGCACACGCCCAATGCACCCGAAGTCTCGGTAAGCCAGCGCCCTTTGGCGTACTTAGTGCCACGCTGGTTATGGGATGTGCCTCTCACCAAAGGCAAAGTTCTTTTCCTCGCGCTTGCCTCCTGACAAGGGACAGCAGTCTGTCTGCCTAAGTTCCACTTTCCACCACCAAACTGTCCTCACAAATGGCCTGAGAACGTCGCGACTGTCTTGACTCGAGACCTGACTCACTGTGGTCAAAACACTTCCCCTGTGATCTTGTCGCTGCTCCAACGGGCTGTGGGAAGGAGCGGGGACGGCAGCTGAGCTCGTCCGTCCCGAGGACCCTCGCAGCTAATCGACCCTAGCCTCACTCCCACGGGCGCTCCTGTGCGCCCTCCTAGGAATCTCTAGAGACAAGACCTTTCTTTGTATCCCTTTCCTTCCCTCCAGCCCACACGCAGCTTGAGAGCTCTAGAAGGGCTTTCTCACCCCGCGACCGGAAGAGGAGAAGAGTATGGGGGATGGGTTGCTCTCGGTAGGGGAGGGGGCTAGATAGGTTAGGTGTCCAAGTGGCGTTAGACCCTTGTGGGCCGATCTCTCAGCCCCCCAGCAGCCCCTCCATTGCCTGCGCGGCAGGAGGGGGCAAAGATTGTCCGGCACGGGTCACTAGGGCAAGAGCGGGTCTTCAGAAAGGGCAGAAGTCCCCTAGGACACGAGGGGATAGGTCTTCAGAAAGGGCAGAAGTCCCTCTTGGAAGTGGGAGTCTCGGGGGTTGGAGAGTCCTCTGCTAAAGGAAATAAGAGGTACCCGGCTTGGAAATACCGGCACAAAGGATGTGCCATGGGTGGAGCGTCTAAAGGATGGAGAGCTAGCTGGCTGGACCTCGGGTATCGGGGGAGAGGAGCTCGCAACACTCTAGACAGCAAAGTCTGCACAAAAGGGGCTGGTCTGGGCAGGGCCAGCACGGGGACCCGCCAAACGAGCCAGGCGTGGCTCCCCAGCCTGCACCAGTCCATTTCCCCGGAAGTGCTCCCCACCCCCATCCTCACCCTCACCCCAAGCCCAGCGGTCCTGAGGGAGTACAGCTGGCACCGCTGGACTACTTACCCGGCAGTTCTGAGGCTGGAAGAGTCGTTTCCTGGCGGAAGGGTGTCCCAGGGCTAGGGCGAAGGAAGGGGTGGCGCTGGGAAAGCAGGGGATGTCTGGCGGCATGAGCCGGGGAGTTCCGAGGGGTCTGGACCGCAGCGCCGGGGCAGAGCGCAGCGGAAGGTTTACCCGCACCTCATTTCCCCGCAGTCCTCCTCCTGGGGCAGCCCTGGGCCCCGCCTACGCCTGCAGGGTGGTGCCGTAGGGCGTGGCTCCGCTTACTCCCGAGGCTGCTGGGGGCCTCCAAATGGTCTGGCCGGGCAGGGACTTACGAAAGCAGGGCTCCGAGTGACCATGCATGAGTCCGCCCTAGTGGTACCAAACTGTAAACCACTTCAAGAGCTGGCGGAGCGGCTGCAGGCCTCCCGCAAGAAGTTTGTTGAAGCTGCAGGGTCCGAGAGTGGTGCCAGATGACTGAGCTTTCTCCACCTCTCCCACCAAAAAATCCACAGCCCTGGCGCTACTGAGGATCCAGTTGCGGGGTTCTTGTCTCATGGGACAGGTCAGCCGACTCCCAGGCTCAGGCTAAGGAGAAAGCTTAAAGTCCTGGTCCGCAAACCAGGTACGCAAAATAAGGGAACAAGGGTGTGGTGTGGTGTGTGAGGGGGAGGGTGGTGGTGAGATCAACCAACTAAGAATGGGAGAGGCTTAAATCTTCAAGATTCAGCACTAAAACGAAGACTCAGAAAACTGACAATGCGAGAAACTTTGGAATCAAATTCTTAGTATTTAGAATACATTGAAACAGTAGCCAAGGGGAAAGAAATTGTCCAAAATCAAGCAGCTTTAGTTAAAGTTAATAAAACAGCAGTTCTTGTTTATTGAATGAGTGCTGACAAAATCTATTTAAGTGAAGGTCAGAGGCTTCATGACCGCACAGATTCAACAGCCAATGGCATAGCTGGTATCAGACATAGGCAGGCCTCTGTGGATTCCAACCTACCACTGTTAATGCATGTCTGGCATTAAGAGGAAGTGGAACCACTACACCAGAAGTTCAGTGCTTAGCTTAAGAAGAGAGGGCCACATCCCTCTCCTTGAGATCCGGGGACCACAGGAGTCAAGGTCTAGTGGCTGGCCCTTTGTGTTTGTATTTATTCTCATTTTACATTTTGTTCAGAGACAATGGGACACCTAGCAAATCCTCAACACTCAGCACTCTTAGCTGCAGCTGATAAGAAGAGAAGAGAGAGAAAAATCCCAGAGAAAAAGCCAACTCTCTGCCCAGAGGAGCCAGCAATTCAGCCTGGCCACGCTCAGGAAGCAAGGGACGCTTCTGAGCTGGGTCCACTCTTGAGTGTGACATCATTCGCAGAGCATCAGACACACCCACACTTAAACACACAGTGTAAAAAACGCTCTGAAAGGAGCCCTGTAAACGGGCAGGCGGACTTTCATTAGCAGATGGACGCCAGCCACTTACTGGGTCCTGTTTACAAAGGCCCAGCTTCCCTCAGAGACGGTCAGTGGAAGTCCAACAGGGTTATGTGACTCTAAGAACAACATGCTGTAAAAACCGTCTTTTAAAGATCATAGAACGAGTTCTTCGACTCTTAACAGCCTGCCGACTTCTAGTTTTTCTTGATGCTAAAGACACACAGTGGAGCCACAGAGCTGTGTGGAATGAGATCCCTGCAGCAGGCCAAGCATGAGGAGAAGTCCCTGACACCACCTCTCTGTCTTCTCACCTCTAATGGTGACATCTTAATGACTCACCTTCCTTAGCCTATTTCAGGTCTGCGTTCTTTTTATTCCATGGACAGAATAGAACAAGCATTTTTTTTCTTGTTAGACTCTTGAGTTATGATCCACAATTTCATATTTATATGAAATAAGTAGTTTAGCATAGTAGTTGGCATAGTCCTATGGATAGTTTATATGGGATCGAATAGAATAAATGACCCACACATGAAAATTCCATTTTAAAGGATTCCATTCTAATGGCTTTGGAAAAAAGCTGTGCCAGCAGCTGCTTAGGTTAAAGTCCTGAGCCGCTAGGGACAGGACCCTCTTTATTGTGCCCCAGACCATGCTCTGTCTTCCTGCGGTGCAATTCTCACTTCCTTATCTCAACTCCCAACCTTTGATCTTCTGGGCTTGGAGCCAGAAAACAAGTATCTAACACCCTAGGAGACATCTGTAGGCAGTCTGTAATATGGCCTTGACCTGCAGCTCAGTGTCCTCAACGGCCCAGAAAGCCACAGTTCCTGAGGCAAAGGCACGGCACTTCGGAAGTTTATTAAGATTAGAGGGTCTGGAAGGCCTCTCCTAATTCTGACCTGAATGACCCGAGTCAGATCGCAGCACAGAGGACTTTCCTGCTCCTAAGCCTTCAGGCAAAAAGAGCTGGGTAGGTATTGGCCAATAGCTAGGTAACCAGTGTGACGGAAGTGAGAATGGAGAATGCAGAAGAGGAGCTGAAGAGGAAGCTGGGTTGGGGATTTTTTTTTTCTAGGTGCAGAGGGAAAATGCAGAAGGAGGGTAAGCAGAGTGGGACGTGGTCCTCTGCCGGAACTAAGATAATACCGTTTAGCAGGGCATTCTGTTTGTTGCTAAGGGGACAGCGGTGAGCTACAATGGATGACAACTTTCTACTGGAGAAAGGGGTTATTAGAAATTAATTAGAAAACATGACAGAACCCATGGCAGAGTTCTAGGCCAGTGAGGACGGGGACAGGGTAGACTCAAAAGATTCAAAAGATAGCTTCAGGTAAAACTGATATAACTTGGTGATAAATGCGTGTGTGTGTGTGTGTGTGTGTGTGTGTGTGTGTGTGTGTGTGTGTGTAGGGCCTCATTAAGAATCGCTCCCCGGCCCAGAATGTAGCTGAGTTGGTAGAGTACTCACCTGGCATGTGAGGAGCCATGGTTTAATTCCCAGCATCATATAAAAACTGGACATAGTAGCATCTGCTTGCGACATCAGCACGGTGGAGGTGGAAGCTGGGGAAGCATAGTTCGGGGCCATCCTCCACTACACAGCAAAGTCAAGGCCAGCCTGGGCTACCTCAGACCCCAGCACAAAATAAGCACAGCAGCTCAACAGCTGTGTCTCTGTTTGGGGGACTCTGAAATAAACTGGCCTGTCATTCTTTCCTCCTCTTCACTCCACACTTAACCCTCTGCATGCTGCTTTTCCTAAGTCAGAGAATGCTTTCACAGGCTCCCAAATAACAGGAGACCCAGGGCTTTCCTGTGTTTCCTTTCGAGACCACTTTTGCTCTTCAAACACGATTATAGGAAATATTTTCTCAGACCAGAAGTCACTTAATCATGTAACTTAAAAAAAAATGTGGCTTTTCTCTAACTTAGCCCGATGAAGTTTCAGTTTAACTTTTTGTTTAACAGGGAAGAGTAATATGGCGTTGGCCAGGCATGGTGATGCACATTTGTAATCCCAGAACTTGGTAGTGGAGACAGGAGGATCGGAAGGTCCATCCCAGCCTGGCCGGTATGAGATCCCGACTCAACAAACCAACTAAATCAAAGCCAAGAGTCAAACTATTCTTTGGGAAATCATTTTCAAACTATAAAGTGGTGTATTGCTCTTACTAAGAATTCAGAATAGCAAGGCCATGCTCCAGGACACAGCGTCTCTCTGTCCCACGTGCACCCTTCTTCCCACACTTCATTAGCACACTTCTTCCCACACTTCATTATTCAAACTCAAAAAAGAAAAAAAAAGCTCCAAGCTTCCTTACTGACATTACCTAACTGTGGCCAAGTTCCTACATTTTATCCAAACTCTGGCGGAATGAGCTTTAGTTTAAAAGTTCATCTAAGGAGGGACATTTCAGTTGAGAAGTCCCTGCTGGCTAATGTCTTCGTTGCTTAACCACGTGTAATGGCTTTGGAAAGACGTCTATTACAGTGATGCCCAGCTTCAGAGGTCACTCCTTCCCACCCACATGGAAGGAGGCGTGGATTTGGTTTTACAGGCTATTCCTATTTACACCAGCAGGAACAAAGGATTTACTTTGAATTCCTGCGGATTTAGACTGAAGTTTAGAAATGGAAGACAAAAACTTAGCTATTAAGCGTATAAATCAAATCTGCCCTAAACTCACAATAGTTTTCCTTTGGAGAAAGGAAAAATGGGCAGCTCCTTCACAGAGAGGCTGTGGCAGCGAGGCACGTCCACCTCCTAGGGACTTCCATCTACTTGGTAAATTTTAATTAATAGCAAAAAGTTAACACTGGTATTATTGAGATGACGGTTGATCCATTTCTGTAGGAGAGACTATAACTTGGTGACTTTACCTAAGTTTGACCGTGTGCCAGCTTTTCAGACACACACCCTCTGTAAGTCTCAACTCAGTTTCGTCAGTGCAGTATCATGGGATCAGCCAGGCTTGGGCTCCAGTTCTGGCCTTGCCACTTTATGACTCTGGCTAACATCATCTCTTTGGGCCTCACTGTTCTCATCTGTAAAATGGGCCTAATAATAATAATGATACTTATCTCATAGGAATGCCATGATGATTAAGTAGGGCCTGCTTCCTATAGGCTACAGGGATGTCCTAGTTCACAGTTCCTCCTCAGCCCAGAAACCAGTTGGTTCCTGCTGAATTGTGCCTTGACCCCTCCCACCTCCCAAGTCTACCCTGGAGCCCTAGCCCCACTGCCTCTAAGTAGGGCTGCACTTGGAAACAGGACTTTTCAAGAGTTAGTGAAGTAACAAATTAGGTTCTTAGTGTGGGGAGCTAATGCAGTGTGCCTGATGGGCTCTACAAAAGGGGGCAGCCTGGACACAGACTGAGAGAAAAGCATAGAAGAGCCAGAAAGCCAGCAACAAGCCAGGGAAAGAGGCCTCAGAGAACCAGCTCAGCCAACTCAACGTCCTATTTCTTTCTCTTATTTTCTTTCTTTCTTTTTTCTTTCTTTCTCTCTCTCTCTCTCTCTCTCTCTTTCTTTCTTTCTTTCTTTCTTTCTTTCTTTCTTTCTCTTCTCCCTCCCTCCCTTCCTTCCTTTTTATTTTTTTTTTTTTGAGACAGTGTTTCTCTGTAGCTTTGGAGCCTGTCCTGGAACTCACTTTGTAGACCAGGCTGGTCTTGAACTCACAGAGATCTGCCTGCCTCTGCCTCCCAAGTTCTGGGATTAAAGGCCTGCGCCACCACAGCCCAGCTCAACATCCTGTTTCTAACCAGGATCATAATCAAATAAATCCGTGCTGCTGAAGAAGCGCCTATTGTGGCAGCCTAGCAAAGGAGCACATGACCCAGATGGGATGAGTCTCCAAACCACATGGTTCCTTATGGATCCTGATTTTGTTTTCTAAGACCTGATCTCACAAAGCTCAGGTGGAGTAGGAGGGCCTTCTGTCTATGTGTTAGTTTCATTGGTCAAATAAAGAAGCTTACTTGGCCTTTTGATAGGACAGCAGCTTAGACAGGCTGAGTAGACTGAACAGAATGCTGGGAGAAAGAAAGCAGAGTCAGGTAGATGCCATGACTCTCCTCTCCGAGACGGACGTAGGTTAGAATCTTCCCAGCAAGCCACGACATTGTGGTAAACACAGATTAATAGAAATGGGTTAATCAAGATGTGAGAGTTAGCCAGTAAGAGGTTGGAGATAATGGGCCAGGCAGTTTAAATGAATACAGTTTCCGTGTAATTATTTTGGGTAAAGCTAGCCAGAGCCAGGTGGCGGGAAGTGGCCCGCTGCTCCTTTTACTACACTCAGGCTGTTGTCATACTGACCATGTAGACAATGCATGAATTCCTGATCCTCCTGCCTCTACTCCTGGTGCTGGGATGACAGGCCTGCCCTGGCATCTCATTGCATGGCAAAGCTTCAAGAAGCAGTATGGTGGGAAGAAGACCTGACACAGCCAGTTTCCTTCCAGGCCCACAGTGTAACCCTGTTTACGTAAACCCACATGTAAGCATTTATAATGAGAATCCAGGTTGGTCATCTAAGCTGTTGCACACAACATCTACAACCAAAGACCCAAATGTAGAGAACAAAAAGAGGCAGAAATTCTCCAGAATCATCAGGTAAGCACATGGATGATGTTCACACTTGAGCTTTCCCAAAACCAAGGATTCGTTGTTTAAGCAAGGTTACTTGCAGTTGACCCAAAGCTCAACAGCCTAGTCCTAAAAACACACCTCAAAACACTTTAAGACTTGCACACATTTATCACAAAAGGAACTGTGAAATGTCATGGTCTTCTGAGAGGCACTTTTGTGTCTGTTTCCTTTGGGTATAGACGTCACTGAGTTCAGACTGGAGAGATGGCACAGCAGTTAAGAGCACTTGCTTAGTAGAGGACCCAAGTTCTGTTCCAGCAGTCTCCTGTTGGTTCACAACCATCCCACACACATGGTACACAGACATACATGCTAGCAAAACACTCACTGTGATGGTTATTCTTGGTTGTCAACTTGACTACATTTGGAATGAACTACAACCCAGAAATGGAGGGCACATCTGTGTGGGATTATTTTTCCTTGCTTTGATGTGGGTGAATCCAGACCTCTGAGGTAGTTAGATACACCCCTTCGATCTGGATCTGGAGGCAGGAAGCCACACCTTTATTCTGGAACATACCTTCTGCAGGAAGTTTTTCCTCTTTGCCTGCTTACTCTCTCTGGCAAGTTCACTCCTTCTCTAGCATTGGAGCCTACTTCAGTGTATACGGAAGACCAGCTGAGACAACCACCCTTGTGGACTGAGCAACTTCTGGACTCTTGGACCTTCCATTCACAGCCAACCATTGTTGAGATAGTTGGGCTGTAACATGTAAGTGACTCAAATAAGTGATTCTCTAAGTTCTGATACTATACAGAACCCCCAACTAATATACTTATAAACATAAAAATGAAATACATTTTTAAAGTTTATTTTTTAGAAAGCCACTGAGTTAAAAAGGAGCTTCATCTCAAGGGTCAGAGTGTATATTACGACAGAGAGCTGGGGCAAGCAAACCATTACTTTCTGATTCTCCTCTGACAGCTGGTCAGATGACATAGTCAAGGCTGGGGCTGGATCACATGCTGGAAACAGTCAGGGAGGGCTTATAATGTGGCCAGGTCAACTGAGGAACCAGGTTTGACTTTTAAAAGTTAAACATAAGTTATTTCTTTCAGTGACTGAAAACAGTTGTGTGAACTACGTGATAGATGAATCTAGGTTTTTAACCTATAAATTTTATGAAATCTAATGCAAATCAAATACCAGCAAATATTGTTGTCAAAATTGAGATATAACAGCAAGTATGAAATACACAAATGATTTTGAGGATTTTGTATCAAGGGAGGATATAAAATTTCATTAATACATTTTAATATGAATTACATATTGAAATATTTGGCAACAAATGTTCTAATCGCATTCTGTTACTGTGTCAAATACCATGACCAAAGCAACTGGGAGGGTGGGGGGGAGAAAGGTTTTATTTGGTTTTACTTTCAAGTCATGATCCATCACCGAGGGAAGGCAGGCAAGAGCTCAAGGCAGGAGCCATACAGGAACTTGGCTTGCCGACTTGCTCAGTAACTCATTGACTCATGCTTAACTAGCTTTTTAAATAGCCCAAGACTACCCGCATGAGAAATGGTGTTGCCCACAGTGGGCTGAGCCTTTGGACATCAGTTAATGATCAAGACGATTTATTACAGGTATTGACAATTAAGGCTGACCAGGATAGTAGACCAAATACCGTTGTTAAGATTAATTTCACCAATGTTACATGTGGTTTTTGAATATTTTAAATTCCTTGTGTCTTGTACCTCTTTTTTCCCTGCCAGTGCTGAGGACAGAGCCCAGTCTTGTGCATGCCAGGGACATACTTTGACTACATGCCCAGGCCTTGTTTTCTTTTGCAGGGTCTAAGTAGCTCAGGCTAGCCTTAAACTCAAGGTCCTCCTGTCTCCACCTCTGTCTCCCAGGACATAGACCTGCACCACTAGGCCTGATTCATGCTATATTCTTAGTGCAGAGATAGACTGTTATAAAGTAAATTAAATTTAACTTGTATGGACTGAGTCCAACACCAAAAGCAAACCAACAGCTATATAACCATGCTTCTGAATGGTTACCCAGGTGTCTAGGGTGAGAAAATTTCAATTTTCTTTAATACAAAGTAGAATTCTTGAGAAAATGAGTATTAGGAAGTTTTGAAGAGGTCATAAAGTCTTTTGTGTTCTAAGAATGAAGAGGGACTAGAGCGATGCTCCGTGGGTCAGAGCACTTGCTGTACACATGTGAGGACCTGAGCATGGGTCCCAGCACCCGGTCAAATCCAGGAATGTGTGCTTGTAACCCCCATGCTGTGAGGTAGAAAAGGAGGATGGCTGAGGCTTGCTGGACACCAGCGTCCGGATTCCCATCTCAGGGAAATAAGGCAGTGACACCAGGATACCCAGTGTCCTCCTGTGACCTCCACAGACACACACACACCCCACACTCACACACAAGGAATACACGACTTAAATGACTAAATCAAGAGTCTAAAATACTAAAGTAAAACAGTATTTGTAAAAAATCGACTCTATTCAGGTCCAATTTCATATTACTTTAGTTGATACGTGTCTACCACTTTGGTAATTCAATTTGTAAATTATAGGTAATAAAATACAACTTCGTAAGTATGGAACAAAAATACTTTCATCTTTTCTCCAACCCGAAAAATTGTGTATTTCTGTAGATATCCAGGATGCAAACACATCTGGATTTCGGTGGGAATACGAGCAGTCTAAGCTAAGCAAACAACTGTTGTGGAAAAGATGTTGATTTTGAACCCACTTCCTACCCCATAATGTTACTAGGACCCTCATCTCTTTCTCGAACATCACTGCCAGCTTTATGAGAGATAAAAGTCAAAGAATTCAAGTAGATGCAGTGATCCTGAAAACAAGCAAACATAATTTAATCTTTTGGTGATGGTTTGAAAGGCACACAATCATAGGGACAGGTGGGTTACTTCCACTCTGAAGCTCAAAATTAAGTGGTGTGTTGATGGATTTCATCAAGTATTAAGAAAAATAGATTAGTGTACACTTCCACATCTAGGAAGTTCTAAGACTGGACATGCAAATCAGTATTTTGAGATCAAGTAGGCTACAGTAGTGTATTTAGGCCTTACACTGAATAAACTTTCTATCCAGGTAATTAAGGATCCTTTTTCATGAAAATCAAGTCATTATCTAACAAAATTTGGTTTATTTGGAATGAGTATCTTGATTTAGTTTCATACTCTGGAGACATTTTAATTAAAAATTTAACAGCCTGCTTCTTTAAAAAATGTATAAATCCAAGTTTTGCAGAAAAGTTGAACTCAAAAATTTTAAAAGTACAATTTGTGCCAAATGGTAGTGGTTCACACTTTTAATCCCAGCACTTGTGAGACAGAGGCAGGCGGATCTTTATGAGTTCGAGGGTATCTGGTCTACAAAACGAGTGACAAGACAGTCAGGACTGTTCACAGAGAAACCCTGTCTGGGAGTACAAACAACAGAAAAGCACACTTTTGCTGCTGTATCATGAGTGTGGTGTTCGAATCTGAATCCACCCTCAGTGAGACATGATCAGCCCACCGTACCACAAAGATAAAATTCAAGGGGTGCTCTCTTAGGGCAGAAAAGCTACTGGAGGGGAATCTCCTGATTGATGTAATCGGGTACAGTCAGTCCTGACTTGTTTTAGACTGGCATGTACACTGCCTAAGAGAAATAACAGAATGGAACCAACCACCAAACCAGAAGAGTCAACCTACGCATACCTTTTTGTTCTAAAGAAGACCACACTCTATGGCCACGAACATTCAACTCTTACAGAAAAGTCTAAATCAGTGCTCCCCAGAGAAAATACCCATCTTTAGAGACAAAGTACATACATGACTGTGGAGCCCCTCATCAATATTTAAATGCTAAATATGAATTGGTATTACAGGTAAGATAGATCTGCAATGCCAACAACACAGATTCTGCCCCAATGGAGTCCACTATAAATAACCTGGTGGTTAGCTATCACGTCTTTAAATCTGTAAGATGGTAGCCCAAAGGACCAGCCAATCACTACTGGCCCAGGAGAAGGGTCCAGTGGAACAGTCAGACATGTGCTTGGGTCAGCTCTGCTCCTGGCCTAGTGGAGCAGGTAGTGGTGGATCAGGCTCCTGTGTCAGCTGTAGGTGCTGGGCTGGATCGGAAGTAGCCGCTGCCAACTGGAGCGCCTCTGTTTGCCCTTGGTGGGCGTGTAGATGCTCCAGCGTTTCCTTGGAAAGTGTGATGACATGCACTGGCTCCGGCTGGGAGGCCTCCATCTGGCTTCCAATCATGCCAAGGCTCTGAAGGTGCTCTGTTTGCTCCTGCTGAGCGGAAAGAATCAGGCTCTGCAGCTGCTCAGGCTGCTGTGTGAGCAGGGCAAGATTAGCAGCTGGGTCTGTGGCCATGCTCTGAGAGCTCTCAGCAGGTACGATGCTGACCCCCTGGTTGGGGCCTGGCATGAAGTTAATGTTATGCATAGAATCGGTTACCAGCAGCTGAATCTCCTGCTCTCCTGAGGTGGAGAGCTGGTATGGCTGCAGCTGAAGAATGTTCCGGACCTCGTCAGCATTACTGCCAGAAACACTGCTAGAATCTGATGTGTGTTTCTCTTTGCTGTGAATTTTCAAGTGAGCCTTCAAATTGTCTAAGCGAGCAAACTGTAAGCTACACTCAGGGCAGGAGAAAGGCTTTTTGCCGGTATGTAGGATGCAGTGTCTCCTCTTGGCGCTGGAGTCAGAGAAGGACTTGCCACAGATGCTGCAGGAGTATGGCTTTTCTCCTCTGTAAGAAAGAATACAGAAACAATTGCTTCCTACTTCCTGGTTACTTAGCAGAAGAAATCAAAGCTAAAGAAACACTGGGCCTAGCAGCAATGCATCTGAGTGTTTGCTGTCCTCTTTATAAGAATTCCTTTCCCTGAATGCCAATGCTTAAACCCATGTCAAACCCTTAAAATAAGTTCCAGCTCCGCTTCACACCAAAAGAAAACAACATGGGAACCACTTTTGGCCAGCGTCCAAAGTCACAGGTCCTACCAACTATTGACTGACTTTGAGTGAACGGCTTCCATGTGCTTCCCCAAGTCTCAAAAATAAAAAAGGGCTTATGGAAGGGTGGCAGGTGGGACTGGGCTATGGGGAATGAACTTTTTTAAGTCTACTGTTGTATGTGTTTCAGGTAAGAAAGTAAACATTTACATATTATACAAACAGTTCTATTTTGCTTTTAGTTCTTACAGCTGATTTTTAGATTCTAAAGGTCAAATAGGTATGTATGTATTATGATTAATATCAATATTAAAATTTTAACAGCTCCTAATTACTTTTGAAGCTTGTAGAAATATATGTAAGTCCAACCTGGAATAATTTTTATCAACAGTACTCTTTTCTTTTGGATGGAATTTTTCTATGCAATCCAGTTTGGTCTCAAACGGTTGATCCTCCTGCTTCTGGCCTACCAGGTGCTGGGCTTGTAGGCATGCTCTACCATGCTTAGCCCCAGATATTATTTTCTTCCTTTTGAGACATGGTCTAACTCTGTGGTCCATGCTAGCCTTGAACTTGCAGCCACCCTCCTGCTTCTACCTCCTATGTGCTGAGACATCAAGCTTCATACTTCACTAATGGTTTAATTTGCGTGTGTGGCGTATCTCTGTATGCATGTGGAGGCCAGAGGTCGCCACTGGTTGTCTTCCTCTCTCTCTCTCTCCACCTGATTATCTGAGGGTCTCTCACTGAACCCAGAGCCTGCCATTCTGGCTAGCCTGGTGGTCACACAACCCCTGGGATCCACCTTCCTCCGCCCTCTGACATACATGCAGCGCCACCTCTGGCTCTTACATGGGGCTGGAGATCTGAACAAATTCTCATTCTCCTGCAAAAAGTAGTTTATTCACTGAGCCACTTCCCCAGGCCTCAATTTGCTTCTGATTGAAGATGTAAGCTTCAGATCACTCCCCAAATAAAAACTGCAACAAAATAATGAAGCCAACAATGAAGGCTTTTATTGGTCAGAACTGATATTGCTGGTTTTGTCTGAGAAATTATTTTTAAAAATAAGCTAATAAACTACACAGAAAACTCTATCAGAGTAACAACTGGAAATAAAGCTTATTTAGGGCAAAGGTTACTCCCACAGAACACCAGACTTCAGTGAGGTTGCTAAATGATAAAAAGCCAGGTGTGATGACATACACTTACAGTCCCAGGTGTAAGCAAGAGTTCGAGTTTGAGGCCAGGAGGTTACAGAGGTATGTCCCATGTCACCCAGCCCCAAACAAGCTTACCGGTGGATTCTGATGTGGGTCTGGAGGGAGCTCTTTGCTGTGAAAGACTTCCCACAGATTTCACAGGTAAATGGCTTCTCGCCTAGAAAAATGAAAACAGAGAAAAGCATTTATTAGTTCACAACCGACATTACAAAATAACAACCCTGGCCAGGAGGTGCTGGCACACACCTCTGATTCCTGCACCCAGAGGTAGGAGGATCTTTGTGAGTTCAAGGCCAGCCTGGTATACAGAGAGAGTTCCAGGACAGACAGCCAGGGCTACATGGAAAAACCCTTTCTTGGAGAAAAAAAAAGAAGAAGAAGAAGAAAAACAAAATAAGAACCCAGGCGCTTTACTTTCCCAATGGGAGAAGCAAAGGCCACTCTGTTAGAGCACAGGAAGCACATCTGGGCGGCGCCAAGAGAATGCAAGGATGCAGAGGAGGTGTGGTTCCCTTCCATGATGATGGAGAAGCTCTTCATATGTGGGTAACAAAAGAACTCGTAGTTACCCCTGCATTTTCTACCCTTGAGTCTAACACTGACTCTTGCACCTCTGCAGAACTTCTGGGTAAGGTGGCCAGGACCTTCGAAGGGACCTCTGTGCACCAGGGCACACTGCTCACATTTATAGCTACCTTCCAAATGTGTCTAGAATCTGACAATTTCTCACTTCCTCCTTCGTAGATCACAGCAGTCTTGAAAACGGTCTCTTACTTCCTGTTTATACACTGTCAAGATGGTAAACAGTGTGGGCCTTTCCACACTGACAGAACATTTCACAGTAGCAGCAACTGCTCCAGTGGCCATATCAGGAGACAGCAGCCAAAGCTTCACACTACAACAGGTAACAGATTTTCTCTCTCTCTCTCTCTCTCTCTCTCTCTCTCTCTCTCTCTCTCTCTCTCTCTCCTATTCCAGAAACCCTGCCAAATGAATGACTTTCCCACGGTGGTCTAAGGCTCACATAAAATGTGCAAGTACTCAGATTTCACTCGTTAACAGCAACAACAAAACTAATACTGTTTTTCAGTATTAGTTTGCACACTACACATGCGACAATGGACTCTCATCTCCCCCAGAAGCCAAGTGAAGGAAGGGATCCTAATGGAGGTTAGAGGAGTTTTGGAAAAGCCAACAGCAAGACCTGGCCTCACTAGAGAAAGCAGAAGAGAGATGCTCTTTCAGACTAGACTTGTCTCCGAGCTCCACCCAGCACGGCACCCACACACAAGACGAGCTAAACGGATCAGAGTGTGCACATGGTTGCCTTCACCACGCAAAGGTGACAGGCAGGCGGCTTTCTAATCAGAGCTGCGGCTACTCAGACCTCAGTCAGTTCCCACCTCTCATGTAGACTGTGCACCTGTTCCACTTGGGCTTCAAATACACAGATAGTGGGCAGTATTTTTTAGTCTGATTGTATAGCTCTGACTGGCCTCAAATCAGAGGTCCACGTGCCTGTCTCCTGAGTACTAAGCTTACAGGCATTCATCACTGCACAGCTTCAGCTCAGCAGAGTGGGAAGTTCAGAGTTCAGGGATCTACTCCTGGCTAGGGCCTTCTTGCTGTACCTCCAGGGCAGAAGGTGGAGAAGAAAGGACACTGGAGGGGAAGGGAAAGGACTAAACTCATCCTTCTTACTGCCCCACTATCGGGGCATCTGATGTTTTAACGTGTTTTGTCAGTCATTAGGATTCCAACACTGGTCTGTAGGACACTCAAGCCATGGTGACGGAATCTCTCACCCTTGGCTTCAGATCTGTTCTGTGTGACTCTCTCTTCAACCTAGGGCCACTCCTCTCTTTTGTTTAGTTCGGAAACACTGAGAGACCTCCGGCAAAGTTGTAGCTAGGAAAGATAGTAACAAAAGAGATGATCATGGCTTCAGGAAGGGTGTGCAGTCTATGTGCAAGGGTAGGAAACGGAGTGTGCTCCAATAACAACTGAAATCCACAGCACTGAGTGCAGACAGAATGCCCGGACAGATTGGAGGGCCTGACAGGGCACTGGTCTAAGTACAACAAAATGCTAGGGTACAAGAATTCACTGCAGAGTGGTGGGCTCAAAGACGAGCCAAAATCCCAGACAGAGGTTTAAGTAGACAGATGATGTGTTCAGACTGTGCCCGCAGTGGACTAGAGGGAGGATTTCCTGCCAGACTATGCATGAGGTATTGTGGTCAGGGCCAAGAGATGCAGAAGACAGACGCACAGAGGTTAAAGGCTGAGACACGAGGGCTTGGGCAGCAGAGACTGGAAGGAAGTCTTAACATGAGGTTCAGACAGTAACAGTGAAAGGTGAGGTCAGAGACAGGAGGATGACTCAGGAAGATGCAGGCAGAAATGACTCATCCCAGAGGGGCCACGACTTCTGCATCGTTTCCAACTTCTTAAAATCTGGACTGTTAACAGCTTGTCATGTCAGCAATGACGATTCTGTCCTAAACTAATGAGCTCCCAGTCTCTTCACCGCCCTTCTGATCCGAAGGCCTTCCTCTCTCAGTCTGCCAACCACCTATCCTAGGCCCTTCCTTCTCTGCCCATCCCTCCAAGGCTGCTCAAGTCTTCTCAAGACACATTAAAGGACTCCTTCTCCCGGTTCATGGCCCTGTTGCTTTCACTGGTCTGCCCCACTGTCTGGAGCCTCGCCCCACTGGTTCTCTGCAAACCACTGGGCTTTTACAGTCTCAAATCCCCACGTCTGTCCAACTGGTGGCACATGTACATGCTTCCTGAGTCACCCAGCACTTGCTCTGTCTTCCTGATCCAGGGCTCCACTCTGGGGAACAAGACTCGCCCTCCCTCTGTGGCTCCATCACACTGCACTGAGATTCTTAATGGATACACACAGACTTTGCAAGGGCAAGAGGTCCCGGGTGGCCCCAGATCCCAGGAAAACTGTAACAAGCAAGATGGACTCATCTCAACACAGGCAGAGAAACTTTGGCAGCTTCGTACCTAACCCACAGAATGAGGTTGTGACTGAAACTGTGACGTCATGAACCTATCATGTGACTGGGCAGGACAACCACATGAGCATGGGAGCCCACACCAGTATTTATCTAACACAATCTAAGGGACAGAGCTGCCGGAGAGGTGGAGGCGCTCTGTAGAGCAGAACCTACTCACAAGGATGGCTGCTGCACACAGGCACACTGAGCAACGTTCCCACCTTAAGGACAGAGGAAAATCACAGTCCATGGTGGTAGAGCACACCTACAGTCCCAGCACTCATGATGCTGACACAGGAAGACCGAGTGAGTTCTTAGGCCAAGCTGAGCTGCCTAGCAAGACCCTTTCAAAAGAACAAAACCCACAACAAACAAGTGGCCCTTATCAGATGTGTGAGTTTGCCTGGCTTGACTATGTCCCACAAGCCTGACCTGCTTCAGGTCAGGGAAAATATCTGACTGTGAGACCATGAGCCAGATCCTTCTTAGCAGCACCTCTCACGGCAGCGCCGCCTGCCCATTAGACAAGTGGCCTTCGATATTCTCTTGGGGAACAGAGAGATAATGTGCCTTTGGTTTCTCTGGTGTCTGGTGCATGACATCTCACCTGGAGAGAGTGTGCACTTGAGGTCTGAGAAACAAGTGATGGTCTAGGTTCTTAAAGCAAGTATGGCTATGCTGGCAAATGCCTGCTTTACATCCTAGTTCAGGGTAAGGAATGAGATGCCAATGTGGCCATTGAGCTGAGTGCTAGAGACAGATGTGTTGTACGAAGACCTTGTCCTTGAAGAACCCTAATGTTTTGAAGGGTTTGGCTCATTCTCCCCAACAGGGACCAATGTCTATTTTTTCTTTTTTGCATTTTAATAACAAACTCA